TAGTAGTAAGGCCAGAAGCCCCTAGTAGCGTCGACGCTCCTAGTAGCGATTCCCTTTGCTCCTTGTAGCGTCCTTGCTCCTAGTAGTACGGCCAGGAGTCCCTAGTAGAGTCCTTGCTCCTAGTAGCGATGCCATTTCCTCCTAGTAGCGTCCTTGCTCCTAGTAGCGATGCCCTTTGCTCCTAGTAGCGTCCTTGCTCCTAGGTTCTGGTGGAAAGGATTGGAAATCCCGGACACTTGCAAGAGGAGCACAAGCTGGGACAACCCCCAATCGCAAAAGGGGCGCTACAAAAGAAAACCTTCTTAGGTCTCGGCCTGAACTTCCCTTTACCTCTAAACAACAATGCTTTGAGAGGGTTGCGTCTTTCAGGTTATTACAACAACTCTAGACTCTAGTTGCTAGTTGTAAGGCAGATCCGGAACCCCCTGTTCAGACTCTCACTACTAGAATGAATTGAAGGGGAACAATTTCGTGAACTGTTCTCGTGAAAGGAGTGTGAGCTGCTTTCCATCAACATGGTCAGCAAGTCCGAGGACGTGAATCCCGGGAGTAGACCATGTGCCACACGTTCTGATGCATTTAGTAGCGTTCTTGTTCCTAGTTAGTAAGGCCAGGAGCTCCTAGTAGCGTCCTTGCTCCTAGTAGCGATGCCCTTTGCTCCTATAGTAGCGTTCTTGTGCCATATTTTCCAGATCTGATTTCCAAATCATCTTTCGTTTGCAGGAGATTGATTTTGCAAAGTTTAAGCCTGTGATGCTCGCGGCGTTGCGCTCTTTGACGCTCGGCCAATTGAGATACGAAGAGCGTTCAGAGCAATGAATGTATGCATTGGACAGTACGCGACTTGTGTTACACGATGAGTTTCACGAGGCTTCCAAAGACTTGGAGCACAACCCATGAGACGGCATGGGAGTGGCTGTGGGAAACCGTCAGTCGGAACTTAAAGGAGTCGACCAGGAAGGTTGGACACTCAGAACTCCAAAGAAAGGGCATCAAAAGAATGAAATTGGCTTTCGTTTGTTGCGGAGACACGTCGAGGTGAGGGCCTTCAAGCCTTACAACGCTCAACTATTCTCAACATTGACAGAAGAGTTCTTGGCATAAAGTTAAGCCCAAGTTCAACAAACAACTGTAGAACTCGCACAAGAAGAGATGTATAAACTTTTTTTGTAGGACAGTATAGATATTGTCAGTGTATATCAATATCAGTGTGTGTTTTGGCAAAACTACACAAAGGTGCTGGTCTGAGGCAATTGGACCACTTGCGGAGCAATCTCTACACAGATTTCTTCTCTAGGTGTCAGGCCAGCCAAGATTTGTTCAAGCAGCCAGGATCTTAGCTGGCAGACACCAAGCCACCTGTGAAACCATGCAATGCTGTGCGGATATTTTCTTGCTGTTCATTTTCTCATAGGTTATCGTCTTCCGTCTTCTCTCCATTTGTTGCTTCCTGTGATGTGCACGTCTTTCGCTTTATTTGTCGTTGACCTGGTGAGGTCTCAAACTCGACTTCGCTACATTGCAGACAGAGTGCTCCAATCTTCTTACGATATGTTCCACAAGCCCAAAGACGAACCTCCACTTGGAGTCATTTTTCACCCAATGGGGCTCCTTTCTTTGTCAGATGCGAGACAGTTTACAGTGAGGCAAACAATACATGGCTGAAAACATATGGGTTCTTCTTGTCTTTCCTTAGGCACTCGTGTGCTTGGCCATGCAAGCCATTTCGAGCCTTAGGAGATGGTTGATGAGCTTTCTGCACTAGGCTTGCGACACGTAGGCATGGGTGACCATTTGCGAGTTCTCCATCAAGTTTTGGTATTTCTCTTCGACCATTTGATTTCTCTTCGAAAACGACGTTGAAATTTTGAAGCGAGATGATCAAGGTGATCAAACTGGACGCATTGTCTCCATGACAACCAGCGCAGGTTACGCTGTCCCCATCGAGCTTTTTGCACCTTTCACCGATTGCTGCGTGGCAGTGATGAAACCTTTGATTGCAGAGATTCCGAAAGTTGCGGCTCGACAAGCTTTTTAAAGCGCTGACAAGAAACAAGTGCCACGCTACTAGGAACAGGTGCCTTACTAGTAGTAA